AGTGAGTCAGTGCTCAGGGAGAAAGCACCACTTCCTTCTTTGTTGAAGTCTCTCTTTGCTCTCCCTGTGGACCTCAGTTCTTCGCTTCCGATCCTTGCTGGATCACAGGGATCCACTTCCCTCCTTCTCTGTCTCACATGGCTATATTCCAGTGTATGGATCTCAAATCTCAGAAAAACTATTTCTCTGCTGTTTACCGTTCTGCCATCTTCCCAGAAGTTCTCTTAAGAGTTTTTATTTATTTATTTATTTATTTATTTATTTGGTACTGAGGATTGAACTCATGACCTCATACTTGCCAGGCAGGTACTTTGTGCCACTGAGCTATATCCTCAGCCTCTGTCTTTCTTTCTTTTTTTATCTTTTTTGAGACAGGCTGCCATGCATTCAGGCTGGCCTTGGGCTCACTTTGTGGCCCAGGCTAGTCTCGAATTTGCAAACAGTTCTCCTGCGTCAGCCTCCCAAGTGCTGGGATTACAGGAGTGCTCTACCACATCCGGCTTTCTCAGCCTCTTTCTTACAAGTTTTTAAAGTGTATTATCTTAGTATGAAAATGTTTGTTACAGAAAGAATGAGATGTGGGCAAGTGTAAAATTATAACTACCAATATCCAAAGGGAAGTATAAGTAACATTTTGCTGTGTTTCCTTTTAGTATTTTTATTTATTTATTTTTGGTACTGGGGATTGAACTTACAACCTGACGCTTAACAGGCAGGTGCTTATGCTACTGAGCTAAACCCCCAGCCTCCTCTTAGTATTTTTAAATATGGTAACTGTTTTGGCATATATGACTTAGCCTTAAGACTTAAGTGAACCGCGGACACTGCCACCACTACTTTTTATTCCCTCCTTTCCTTTTTCTAGAATGGCTGTATAATATACTATCGAGAGGAACTGACATAATTTATCACTTTCCCTTCAAATATTCTTTAATGTTTTTTTGTAAAGGGAAAGAATGAAGAGACCGCAAGAGCTAGAGATGTCTAAAATTGATATTTTGAAGTTAAATAGATAAAACATGTAAATCATAATATTTGTCCTTGAGGATGGGCCAGCAGGAGGAGAGTAAGGCCACACTCTGCACCCCTCCAATGCATCTCAGAGGGTGGGCCAGCTGGAAGAGTGAGACACTGATGGGAACCCCAAAGTCCAGGACTATAATCTGGCATACAGACACACACACACACACACACACCTCTGGAGGGTGAAGTAACTAGTGAGGCCAATAATGTGGAGCATCTTGGACTGCAGCAAGAAGAGAGCAGTCAGACTCTGGAGAACTCTGTCAGCAGAAGACCAGTCTCAGGCCCCGCATTCAGACCAAGATCAGCTCCATACCCAGCACATCTCTGGGATGCAGCATGGACATTGCCACAGAACTGTAAACATCAGAAGAAAAAAACTAAACATAGATGCCCCTGTGAACCCACCAGCCTCCAGTAGGTACTCATAACCAACACTGGTGGGGAGAAACAGCCAGCCAAGCTCCTGTATCCTTGCTGCCATTGGGGGAGCCTCAGTGTAGTTGCATGTGTCTGGAGAAGCCAGTGCTACACCCCATTGCCTCCCTAGGAGCCTAGGATATGAGAAATCCAGGTGCCTGACCCATTCCTCTACGTTGTGCATGGGCAGCCAATATGGGAGGTGCATGGGACCTCACAACCAGCTCATCCACAGGAACCCAGAAAAATGTCACGATGAAGGAATGAATGGCAATCTCAGACAGAATGAGTCTAGGAGACATAAAAAGAGAAGAAATTGGAAGTTGAACACCTGAAATTTCTGAAAGGATAGAACCAAAGTAAAGAAACAACACATGAGGCTGTAAAACTAATCAGATAAGAAATATCTTAGGAAAAAGAACAAATGACAAATACTATGAAAGAAATGCTGAACATATCTAAAGATGATACCAATGAAAAAGCAGGATATAGAAAAATGATGGAAACCTTGAATGAACAATACAGGAAAGAACTACAATACGTGAAACAGATTCAAAGAGATATTCAGGAAATGAAAAACTCCATTGAAAACTGGCAAAACTGCTTGAAAGAAACTGAAAATAAAGACTTTCATAACTTGAAGCCTGGATTGCAACTAGTGATTGTGAAAGGAAAGATCTCTTAGAAGTAACAAGGAAATAACAATTCAACAACGATTGAAGTGATAAGTGTCAGCAAAAAAGCAGGAATCAACACAGATGACATAAAAATACTATTTACAGAATAATAATAGAACTTCCCTAACTTGGGAAAAGGACCTGACATACTGGTAAGTGAGGCATGTAGAACATCAACTAGCCATAACCAAAATAAATCTATAGCCAAACATATAATAATCAAGAGTCCAGAAATTCAGTGCAAGAACAGACTATTGAGAAAAGAAACAGATTACCTATAAAGGAAAATTCATCAAAATCACAACAGACTTCTCAACACAAACCATCAAGTCAGAGAGAGCTTGGAGTGAAGTGTTTCAAGTCCTGAAAGAAAATGACTTCCAAACCAGATTGTTGTGTCTTGTAAAACTATCTTTCAAAATTAATGGAGAAATAAGATATATTCATGATAAAGGCCATCTGAAGGAATTCATTACCACCAAACCAACCCTACAAAGAGTGCTGAAGGATATTCTAGAGAGAGATAAGGATGACCATGGTTCCAAGAATAGTAGCAGATAGGGATCACTGAGCAAGGAAGGCAGTTGAATGGAGGGGAAAAGTGGGGGACCAATGGCAGGAAGACAGCATGGCAGATGAGCTGCTGTATGTCAGTTGTAACGATTAAGGTAGATTGCCTCAACTCACCAGTAATAAACTCAGGCAGAGTGGATTGAGAGACAGGCTCCATCAATATACTATATATAAGAAACACATTTAACTTGAAAGAAGATAGATGGACTGAAGGTCAGAGAAGATAAGACAATGCTCCATGTGATAAGGACCCAGAAAAAAGCAGGGGTAACTTGCCTATCAACTGTGGAATGAATAGGAAAGATACAGTATTTTATTTTAATACAGTGGAAAGGTACTCAGGTATAAAGAAGGATAACCTTGAGGCCTTTGTAGGTAAATGAATACAATTTGAGATCATGCTTATGAGTGAAATGGTTTGGCCTCACATGAACATTGTGTTGTCTCCCTAGTATAAAAAAGCTAAAAGAATGTTATAGCTCTTTTAGAGTTTGTCTAGTAGGTTTTCTGACATTTGCTGGAAAACCCATTTAAATGAAAAAAATAATTAAAAAAAAGCTAAAAGAGTTAGTGGGATCCAAAATTTTTAATAGGTATTGTGAAGGTGAAAGGGAAATGTCTAAAAAGGAAAGTGGCAGCCATTGTTAATTTCCTATTACTTTGTTTTGAAGTCCTGTATTGTTTTCAGTGTTTGGTTTGGCTTGGTTTGGTTTTATTCTGTTTTGTTTTGTTAGATTCTATTATATCTGATGGTATGGGCGGCTATTTTGAAGATAAGATATATTGTGGTAACCATTGTTGTTTTTCTATTACCTTGTTTTGAAGTCTTGTACGTACCCCTTTTGTTTTGTTTTGATTGGTTTTATTCCTTTGTGTTCTGTTTGATTTTATTATGTCTCATGGTATGGGCAGCTAATTTGAAGATAGCATGAAGCATAATAGTAGCCATTGTTGATTTCCTATTATTTTGTTTTGAAGTCCTGTATTGTTCTCATTTTTTTTTGTTTTGATTGACTTTATTCTGTTTCGTTTTGTTTTTTATCTTCTTTAAAATTTAAAAAAAAATTGGTCTTCTTTTTCATTTATAATGTCTCTCCTAACACAAATAGGACTCCAAATATGTTGACTTCTTAAGGTGCTTATCTGTATAACTGTGAACAGCATATATCACACACATACTGTACCTTGTTAAATATATTAGATCCAACCTCAATGGACAAAGAAATTTTAAGTTAAAATAAAATATTTTTTTGTCTACTAAATGAGCCAAAGGATGCAATTGTGTCCCTTATGAAAGGTTTTGTGAAAACTGATTATTAAGACCCTTAAAATTTTCACATTGTTTAAATGTGAAATTCCACTTCTAAGATCCTATTAAAATAAGTAATTCTAACTCATTTACTGTTCAACCAGGACATTGTAATCTGACTTCCTACCTCAACTTTATTGGAGATTTTCTGGGCAAGGTCACCAATGACCTTTTAATCATCAAATGCAGTTGTTTCTTTTAGTTTCAGACATATCATTTTCATTTCTTTCTTATTTCTGAGATTTTAGTTTTTAATTGGCAGTCATTTCAATATAATTTATTTAGAAAATATTGCAATTCATGTGTTAAATGATTGCTTATATGTTACTGCTTCAAAATGCATCATTTCTTTTTATAAGTACTTGAAATTAACCCTTCTACTTGAGCTGACTCCCCTTACTAGTTGTCTGAAGGATTAAGAAATATTTTTGTGTATGTATATATATGTATATATATTTTAGTAAACATTTCTTTTACTTTTAACTGTACTGTTTTTACCTCTTCCATACTTTGCATATATATGTGTATATATGTGTAAATATGTGATATTTATTAAGTATCTTTCATAATTTAGATTACTATAGGACTTGACCATGTTCTGAAAATGTAAAGCTTCCTAGGTGTGATAATCCCCTGCTTAACATATATAGTGTTATCTGAACTGAAAAATGAATTCTGTCCATCATAGCTTGCTGTTGTTACTATAGAGGGAAGAGTTGATAATGCATTTTCCTAGGGGTTATGGTTGAAATTGTAGTGCATTTATGAACATCTTATAGAGCATGTATTTTTCAGCCATCTATTGGAGAAAATTGTGTTGTTAAAATATAATTAAGGCCCTGTGTAATGTTTATAAAAGAAAATATGTCACAGATCTAACTTATAAGCAAAACCATTGAAACAACCATTTAAAAGTAACAAGATGCCTATATATTTTCTGCTGGAACATTATATTTTTCTCTATATAAGTATATTAAGTGCAGTTTAATTTAATTTAGGCAACCCTAAAGATGTTGTTGGATCATTTGAAATTGGTGGCTTCTTATCATGAAGTGAATAAGATGACTTGTCAGAATTTGGCTGTGTGTTTTGGACCAGTGTTATTAAATCAGAGGCAAGAGACTTCTACTCATAACAACAGAGTCTTTACTGATTCAGAAGAACTGGCAAGTGCTTTGGATTTTAAAAAACATATTGAAGTTCTTCATTACTTACTCCAACTCTGGCCAGGTAAATGGTTCTGTGGAAATAATTTTTGGTGATAGGATGCCTGAATTACTCATTACATATGGTTGTAAGTGATTGAAGAAATCTTTTTTTCAATTGTGCTTTTTTGAACAGTTGTGAATTCATACCTGATTTTTAGATTTTTCAATTTATATTTTCTGCCATTGCTCATAATATTATAGACATATAAGGATCACTGTGCACATTTTGGATTCAGATCTGGATCTAAATCTTGCTTGTGCCACTTGTTGACAGTCATGACTTGGGCCAAGTTCCTAAACATAGAGCCTCAGTATCATGTTTGCCTAATGGACTTAATCATAAGCTTATAGACTTATATAAGGGTTATTATACTTGTGAGGTGCTCAGCAAAACTTTCGGTACATAATACTGAATTTACCCCCTCATTTTTCGGAGATCAGACAAGATTGGGCGTGCTCAGAGTGGTATTGCTGTAGATCTCATTTTTTTTTAGTTTTTTTTTTTTTAAACTTTATCGGTACCAGGGATCGAACTCACGACTGCCTGCTTGCAAGTCAGGTGCTTATACCGCTGAGCTAAATCCCCAGCCCCTGTAGATCTCATTTTTAATTCAACTATTACAAAGCAGAATGTGTTTTTCTCCATTCTTCTTCCTGACATCTATAGTTATAGTTATTCTTCAAGCATCCTGGGTTGAACTGGCTATATTTTTTATTTTGTTGTTTTTTTCTCCCTTCCATTATTCCAATCAGTAAGTAAAGGATAACACTGATTTTCCTAATATATTTCTTACACAGTTTCAAGAGTAAAAGAAATGTTTTTAATTAAGTGTTCTATAAAGGATTTTATATCTGAGTGCCAAAACTTTATTACGTAGATCCTACTGTCCCTCTGCAAGGACCTACCAATGAAAGTAATTTGATGCTTGGTGTAGAATGTAGTGATAGAAATGCTTGGATCCTGCAGCCAATTTGATTTCAAGTCTGTTCTGTGGCACTTACTAGCAGGTTGGGGTCAGGTAAATACTATAGCTTCTCAAACCCTCAGTTTGTTTCTCTATAAAGAGGTCTGACCTTGGGGTTATGAAGATTGAGATAAAATATTTAAGGCAGTGAACAAAGTGTTAGTACAAAGTGAGCCCTTAAATGTTCATTGTTACTTTTTGGTTAATATATATGAGGAGGAAAGACCAAAGTAAAAGGAATGCTTAATCTAGTCTTTTTAAATAAACCTAACTTTAAAAATAAAATAAGTTAATACAATTTTTTTAACTTTTAAATTTGAGAAGTTAAAATTTTTATACAGGTTTAAAAATTATTTCTAATTTACCTGAATTATAATATATTAATTATTTTAGATTCATTATCAGACTTCTTTGGATAATTAGAGTCCAACATAAACGATCTCATGGGTTACAGTTTTAAGTGTATATTTCCTTTTACTAAAACTGCTTTAGTTTTAACAAACATCACTAATTGGAACAGGAGCCATTTTATTGTAATCACAAGTGAAAACTTGCCTTCCTAGATATACTATTAGTTTCAGAGTTCTTTGTCATTAACTGTGTATAAGGGTTATTATCACATAATTATTTTGTCATAATTACCTTGGTTTTGGGCTTTGTGGACAGAAACTTAGTTTCTTAGTTCTCTGTCACAGAAGAATTAGGATCAGATTTCATACTGTCTGCTCTCCTTACTCCAAAGATGAGTGTTACTGGGGTTTCAAAAATAGTGCTCTTTATTTTTTAAATACTTTCTTCTTTTTAATATCTCAGACACAGGACAGAAAGTTGCAAAAGAATGAGAGAAGATAATAGTTTTACCCTTTCAATCACCTGCTATTGGATGTATGAAAAGGCAGAAATCAAGTAAATGTGGTAATTTCTAGCCATGAGAAAACTATGATGACAAGCCAATGTGATGAGACTGGGCCATTGTTTGTTAATTTGGTGAATGCCCAAGGCATTCAGGGAGAAATTTCCTTGCTATGTATCTTATTTTCTTTTTAGAATTTCTTGTACTTCAGAGTTATAAAGAGCCACAACCCTCTTTTTACATTTTAACCTTTTTTAAAAAAAATTTGGGCAAGAAGGTAATTTACTTTGACATTTCTATTTGAAAAATTACATCTTAATTAGTTGAAACTGTAGCATATCAACATTAGGAGGTAAAAAATCAACCTGCTAATAGTTATTCAGAGCATTTTTGCACCAAGTCCCAAATTTTTTCAAGTACCTTCAGGGCCAAATTGACAAGAGGTCAGGGACATACACACACTTCCGTTTTAACCAGAATAGTCTTACCATGTTTTGTGTGTTACATATTGAGTTATGTATTAGTCAGCTTACCCAATACTGAGACACTGTATCTGATACCCACAAGTTAACTAGGAGAGGTTTAATTTATGGTTCCAACAAATTCAGTCTGTAGTCAAGGGACAGTAAAGCCATGGTTTGTTTTAAAATAGTTTGTCTCTATGGTAACCTGATTTTTTCAGAACTTGAATTTTAGTTTAAAAAATATAAAATAATAATTTAATTGATGTTTAAAATATTTTCTAGGAAAATAGAAAAATAGTGTTTTAATAGAGACTTGACTAAAAACAGCCTTTAGAACCTGGCAACAACAAATGAAATCTGAGCTAGGTGCAGTGGTGCATACCTATATAATCCAAGTGATCTAGGAGCTTGGGGGAGGAGGATTGCAAGTTTGAATCTAGCCTGAGCAACTTAAAACACAAAAATAAAAAGGATTGGGATATAGTTGTGAAGGTCCTGGGCTCAGTCCCCACTACTACAAAAAGAGGGGAAAAAAAAAATCTAGATTTTGCAGGTGAATGTTGGAAAATGCAGGCATAATAAGATTAAGGTACACACAGTCAAAAGTTATGTGATTGGATTGGATCACATGACCTGAAGGTTAGCAGTGTTACCATTAATTGGTTGGCAAAACAACAGGCCTGACAGTTAAGTAGTAAGAAAAGAAATAGCGTAGAAAATAAAGGAGAAAAAGCCAGGAGACAGTGAAGATAAGCAGTGCTAGCCGTTCTGCAGTTACATCAGTTAGTGACGTGGAACATTTTATATTGATACTGAAATTAAAGATCAATTTATAAAATAAATAATGTGTATTTTCCCAAAAATTTTAGATAAAAAACTTTTGGCTGCCAATGATACATAATTGTCACAAAAATGCAATAGGTAGACTTTTTAAAAATGAGTTTTAAAAACTTTATCTATCACAATTATGAAGTATTCTGTTGAGATACAAGTAAAATATTATTTGGCCTCTGAAGAACGTTCTGTATATCACCAACTCTTGAAAACTAAGCATGTTCGTACAGTATTTTACTTAATTTTACATAGTAGTAAACAAGCATTCGTTCTATATTATAGGTTAGTATGTTGTTACTGATTTATGCTACCTTTATCTTAGTGAAGTATAGAAAGAGAGGCATTGGGGCTGGGGATTTAGCTCAGCGGCATAAGCACCTGCCTTGCAAGCAGGCAGTTGTGAGTTTGATCCCCAGTATCGATAAAAAAGAAAAAGAAAAAAAAAAGAAGAGGCATTTATTAACTGACAATAAACAAAAAGAAAAAGATTAGTATGGATAGTCTATTGACTATGCTTGCATTTCAAATTAAGTCAGTTTTATAGGTTGAAGAGGCTTATTTTGTCCAGAATGTACAAGAGTAAGCAATAAAGCCAAAGTTTGTTATGAAATAATGTTTTTCTCTGTGGTAATCTTATATATGGCTAATACAATCTCAGAGATGCAGTGTAACTTACAGCAGAAGAAAACAGTCTTAAAATTAGGAATGTCTTTTGGGATTGTTAAATGCTTAATCAGAATGGGAAAATAAAATATCTGTACTATTTCCAGGCAATAAATGAAGACTAATAGTAGCTAATGCTGTGTAATCAAAATCAGGTAACAGATGGTTAAGTCTAGTCTTTGTGTACTTTATCCAAGTGACATTTGGGCTGCTTAGTAAGTTATGACACTGCTGCTAATTGCAAAAAAGCCCACTAAGGTCAGAACTTTTAGAGTAATCACTTTAGATGCCTTTGCCTCGTTTAGTGTTTGCAGATAATAGAATTTTTGTTTTGTTTGTATTCCAACATGCCTTGCCTGCTTTTTGCTGTAACCTTTAATTTAGGAGAAGCTACCAGCTTAGCTTCTGTTTGAATTATAGCTAGATAATAATTAACTTGCACAGAAAGTTAATCAACATTGGAAATTTGATTTACTTGGGGACATTTTGATATTAGCATGATTGGCATCACTGAATATTCTACTAGCTTCTACGCCTAATCTTGATTTCATCGGGTGATAAAAAAATAATTATGGAATGCTTCCTTTTGATAGTATATATGCATGTTTTTGTTTTAATGCATGTTTGTAGTTGATTATTAAATGGCTTATCTTTACTTTTGTTTTTTTAAGACCAGTTGGACTCCTGTTATTAAAGCAAATTTATTGTTGATTTCCAGTGCACCATGTAACTGTCAGAGAATCAGCAGACAGTTTATTCGCAGAGCAGTCATCTTCTCTGAACTATTTGAGGCGGAAAAAAGAACGACCTTCTATGTTAAATTTGAGTAGTGCCAATTCATTGGGAGTACTTAGGCCAAGGCAGACCAGATTAGACAGTCCGCTTAGCAATCGTTATGCAGGAGACTGGAGCAGCTGTGGAGAAAACTACTTTTTAAATACAAGAGAAGATTTAAATGGTGTGGACTATGATGATGTACCTTCAGAAGATAGAGAAGATAGGGAAGGTTATGGAAGAATGGAGGGACCAGAAATAATGATTGAACAGCCAATTCCCACATCCAGAGAATGCACATTTCAGTCATATTTGAGAATGCAGACAATTGAGTCCACTGTGGACCGAAAAGTTAATCTCAAAGATCTACAAGAAAGTATTGATACTTTGATTGGCAACCTGGAACGTGAACTCAACAAAAACAAGGTCAACATAAGTATTTGATATTGAGGCATTTTATCTGATTTTTAGTGTCTTAAAGTTTCAGATTACTCATTTTCTTTTATTAACTTTACAGTGTTTTTATTTTTTCACTCCTGAAACCTTCAGTTAGTTTCTAACAAGTTCATATGATTCAATTAAAATCACTATTCAGTAATATAATTTTTACTTATTTCATTAGAAAATTTTTCCAGAAATAAAGGTAACCTGAATTGTTTGCAGTATTTTAATGAACCTTGCCAGTTCTATGGAGGTTACTTTCTAATATACTTGTAAGGTTAAGGTAAGTTACAAGCTCAAGTTTTTGTATTTTGTAGGAACTGCTTTTCGATAGCTGAGATAGATGCTCCCTTTAGTAATAACTAGTCCTTGTCCCAGAGGAACACTGCAGCTGCTCAGTGTGATTTGCAGTAGGAATTCTTGTACACTGCAACATCATGTGGTCTCATTTCATTTGCAATGCAAATGCTGCTATAAGAAAACTTTTGTATAAATAAAAGAAAAATTATACAAATATTAATGTATTCTATATTAACATTCAGTAATTATTTAAGCTTATACAAATTATTTTTATAATCCTAAAAGTATGTATATATTTATAAGTGCATATATGTATAGATATTAGAGTGAAAGGGTTGACTATAGAATCACTTGTATTTTTTAAGATATATATGTCATAGCACCAAAATTATTGACTAAAAATTTAAGTTAAAGAAAGATTTACATAAAAACATTAAAATATAAACACTCTAGGAGCATCTGAAGGAAATAAATAGTCTTTCCTTTTTTGATTTATAGGCAGTTGCAGTATTCCCTGTGAAAAGTCATCTTTCTTTTAAAGTGACAAAATCCTTCAATCGTTAAGTGATAAAGTTCCCAGCTTTCTGCACTAGTAACTTAGATTTTAAAAACTTCAACTCTTCTATGCATTTTATATTCTATGATGTGTTAAATATTTATTTTAGTGGCACATGTATAATATTGACTTTACAATTACACCATTTGTTTCTAAAGAAAGCATCTTGCCAGCATACTACGTGGTACTGATTTTTTAAAATTAACTTATTTGGGCTAAATATATTTGTAAATTAGTTATCATAGATATCACAGCCGTGATTGAAGATGTAAATTAGAAGACTTTTAAATCGGAAAAATTTTAAAACTTTTATACCTACAGAATTGTGTAATTTTAAAATTATAAATAAAATTTGAATTATCAACTTTAGTGTGTAACAGGCATTAAGCTGACTTTGTCATTTTTTAAAACTATGATATTTGACTATCCCTATGCAATATACATTGATAAACAGAACACTATTTATTTTGAAAGTATAAAAAAATAACTATTTTTATAAGAAATATTCATTTTTTAAAACTTTGTATAATGATTTAGAATTTTAAAAAAGGTGATAGGCATGTTATGAGTAAACAAGTCAATTGTTTTAGAGCTGTGCATGGTGGTGCATGCCTGTAATCCTAGGAGGATAATAGTAAGTTCAAGACCAGTTGGAGCTACATAGAGAGACTCTGTCTCAAAACAATAAACAAAATTTTTTTTTTACATTGTACTGTTAAAAGTTTTGTGGGGAAACTGTCTCAGTTTTTTTTTTTGTTTATTATATCATACATATTATATGAATTGAGTAAGTTGTTCCAGAAATATAAAAATTTTATTAAAACAGTATAACCTTAGTGTCATGCTATTATTATAATTATTTTAAGACTCTTTTAATACTCTTAAAACATATTCTGCATTAAGGTATGTATAATAGCAATTATGAGTCCAAAATTGAATTTTCTAGAGTCTGAAATACTTTAAGGACCATACTTGTATTATTATTTTATTCTGAATGAGAATAGTTCTTAAAATTAATCTCTACACCTAATGTTTGTTTGTTTATTTTTTGGTATCAGGAATTGAACTCATGACCTTGTGCTGTGCCCCTGCGCTATATCTAGCCTGGGCCCCATTCTGCCAGTTTAAATAGAGAATTCTAAACTTTTGTTGTTGTTTTTGTTGTTGTTGTCTGAATCAGAATACTAGCTCTAAACCTCTGTTACTAACTGCTGCTTTCAAAAGTGCTGAATGAATTTAAATGCCTTCATTTTAAGTAGCCTTTTACTTCAAATCTTTTTGAGGTTTTATAACTGCTTTTTGTAATTTCGTGGACTCTTCCCTACGTAGAATGTCAACCATCATTTCTTTCCGAGCCATCAGCTTTGACGTTTAAGGATTAAAAATAACTTTAACTTCAGTGCATGTACCTGGGTAAAAATTCTGAACAATTTAGACAGAAAATTAAAAGGACTTCTTCCTGCCATCCACAGTTTTATTGATGCTATCCTAAGCAGGATTTGTTGATTGTCTGCTGTGAATGCATTTTTGGTTACCTTTATAAGTTTAGTTATCTTTATTTCTTAATTCATTGATTTTAAACAGTCTTTTGTGCCTCTCTACCATTGAGGAAATGGGTAGCTCTGTACTTTCAACTTATAATCACTTCCTTATTTCTATAAATTATACTGTTTATGTGCCAATGTTAATAGATGTTTATTATTTCGTGGATTTACCCTTGACTTATATTTTCCCTGTATATATTGATTTCAAAAACTGCAAATCAGTAACTAGTTGTTGTGCTAGAGTATGTAAAGTATTCACAATAACCAGATGACTTATCTCTTTATGCATATCGTCTTTATATCTTTAAGTTTATGCTGATTTAATCAAAATGTTCCAAGTATAAAGGAGGAAATTTTTTTCTTTCACAACTACCATTCTTCAAATCATGCCATGAGTTATCTGCTTTATAATTGGGTCATGGCTTTTGCATATTTTATTTTTCCTGGAATATGTAATTGCAAATACATTAACTTTTTAAATCATACTATCGAATGGCAAAATTTGTTCAGAATGCTTTTAGTTCTCATCCTGGGATGCCTGAAGTATATTCTTGTTTCTGTATTTCTTTGCCAGAACAAAAATATCTTCTACCCTATGAGATTATTGTTTTAGTTACTTTTCTTTGTGTTGATACAAAACACTCAACATCCCTTTGGGAGAAAGGTTTATGTAGCTCACAGTTTATAGAGGTTTCAGTCCATAGTTGGCTGGCTCCAAGGCAAGGTGTCTTCACAGAGGAGAACAATTCATGGTGGGCAGAAGACAACAAAGCAACAAGAGAGCAAGAGACAAGCTCGTTCTGTCCATTATATTGTATCCAGTCCACTGAGATTAGGACAGTGCCTGTCCAATCAGTGGACTGATCCAGCAATCACCTACCCTCATCTCAGCATCTTTAATCCCAGCATTGCACTATGAGCCAGTCACATGCTCTAAATTCAACTGCCTTCGGAAAAAACCCTATCATGGCATGAGGCTTTGGGGGACATCAAGACATAACTGTAACAATCATTTTATGCATCTTAATCAACTTTATAAAATTTAGATTTTTAGTTCTTACCTTGTGATGTATTGTCTCTTAGTCCTGTGGTTTATCTTGTGTTCAGAGCCCCCTGTTTCTTGAATTTTTAAAAATATATTTGAAAGTACTCTTTTTGTGGTGTCTTTACAAATGGTACATGGAAGTAAATTTTGAATACTTGCAGGTCTGACCAGGCCTTCTTCATCTTTATTTTGATTGGGTCTGCAATCTTACATTGTCTCATTGTCTTTTAAAATCTTGAAGGCATTTTACTGTTACCTTCAAGCACCAGGTTTTGTAGTAACCTATCAGAGGAGAAACAATAAAAGTAGTGAGAGATGATTGGATTATGGCTACATTTTGAATTGGGGGCCAAGAGAATGTGACAGTGGACTATAGGAAATAAGACCTAGCAACTTAATAGATTGCCATGAGATTGAATGAACTTTTTCATATTTTTAAAATGTGTACCTTGTATTAGATGGTATTATAAATAGTTATCAAAATGTCTGAATAATGTTCTGGTAAGTAATAGTGCATTTGTACTTGGTGACGGTCCTCTAGCCCAGTCATCATCGGAAGCAGAAAGTCTTCATTGTATAATTTGTCCAAGTACATACATATAACTGTCCTTGGAAATGTACAGATGTATAGCTTTATATGAGGGAATCTAAAGAAACAGATTTGGGTAGTGCTACGGTTCTGAAAATAATTTTGTTTCTGGACCACGGGATGACTTTGAAAGTTACAATTCTGTAATTTAAAAACATTTTTAGATATTTTTATATGATATAGTTATGTTTAACAAGTCCCAAGGACTTCAGAATAAGCAGAAATACTCTTGCCTTCATCCCTATTTTTGACTTGGGATCCATTAAGATTTGTATTTGATGAGCTGTGAAGTGTTATAAGTCAGAGTTCTTGGTTGCATTCTGACTTAGCCAAAAAACTGATTGGCTGCCTCACACAGATAGTAAATTTGTTGAAAAAATAGTATGTCCAGAACAAGGCTGTTTTAGAGTTCTGACTGAGTTTATATTGTGGTCTAGGTAGTGGTTTCACGGGTGATGACATATGTCAAGTTGCATAACTTAAAATTTGTGGCTTTTATAAATCATACTCCAATTTTTTAAGTTTATTAAAAAATTAAGTCAAAATAGACTTGGGAATAGAAATGGAGAGAGGCTAAAGGGTCAGGAGGACAGCAGTCAAGATCATGTCTGGCTTGTAAGCGGAGGCAGGGTGGCAGACTGCAGCCCTTCCAGAGGGAGAACAGCAGTGTCTCCTGAGATCCACGCCATGTTGGAACTTAGGACTCTGGGAAGCCAAGCCAACACCTCCCCTCCCTGGTAAGCGGCAGTAGTTTAGCCCACTGCAGCCCTTCCAGGGGGAGAACTAGCAGTGTCTCCTGAGATCCACGCCATGTTGGAGCTTAGGACTCTGGGAAGCCAAGCCAGCACCTCCCCTCCCTGATTTATTATGTATGAAGGCATGGACAACTATTTCAAAGAAAACAAGAATCATTATGGTAGTCACTGTAGATTTCCTGTTGCCTTGTTTTGAAGCCCTGTGTTGCTGGCGTCGTTCTGTTCTGATCACCTTTGTTCTGTTTTGTTTTTTTTTATTCTTTTCAAAAAAAAAAGTTTAAAACAAAAACAAAACCAAAAGATCATGTCTGGCTGATGCCGCTACCCCCACACAACACTGTGGCCACCGTTGGAATTAACCAAACATCTTGGCCTCTTCTGTACATCATTCTTGGCTCAAGGTCCCTGCCCGAAGCATCAGATTGTACTCCAAGCTCCAGGACTCATCCTTTCCCTAAAACTTACAGTGGTATATTCTGTGACTGCAAGAAAGGAATATGAAACTGGCAACTGTCCATAACACGTCCCTGAAGTCCACCTTGCCCTATTGTCCTCAAATTGGAGTCTTTCCTCCTCAACCCTGTGTTTCACCTATGTGTCTGAGTCCGAGTGCTGGATGTCCTGAAACTGCGCTTCAGTTTGTTACTGCTAGTACCACAACCCAAGCCACTATCTTGTCAGTCTTTTTATTTTACCTCTACTATCACTCTCCTTTCCATCTCCCCATCCTGACAGTCTATCCAAACAAAAGTGATCAGATCATTTCCCAGACCTTTTCCCTTGCTCCTAATGCTTTAGCAACCCCCAAAGCCTGATCCATGTCTGAGGAGCTTGGCGTTTGCCATTCATTCCCTGTGTCTGGAAAGTTCTTGATTCCATTGACTTAGGTACTCCTTTTCTTATTACCCATCTCTAGTCAAATGTTGCTTCAAAGAACCTGCCTCTAAAAGCAGGTCAGTACCTGGCTCTGAGAACTAGGGGGAAGAAAGATGGAGATTTCTGTTTCTTATAACAAGTACTAAATATTTATAAAAAGGCTTTTATTAAACTTTATACATTTATAACTTTGGTAAATGTTTGTATTTATGTCAGATTTTAAAATAGAAATTGAAAAACAATACCTACCCTTTGTCTCTGTAATGTCACCCTAGCATATTTTCATCAAGTTGTTTACTGAAATTACCTTGTTTTATTTATTACCTGTGTTCATCTCACTAGACTTGAACATAGACTTGGCAGCAAAGACTGTATATCTAGTTTATTGCTGTATGCTTAGGGAGTATAAGTAGAAGATGCTTAATTGTTAATAAGTGAATGTATAAAGGAGTAGTTGGAGAATGGTTATTTTTTATTAATGACTGGGACTATAAGATGCAATGTTTTTGTATTTTAAAAATACTGACTCCTGAATAATAAATTATTTATGGATAAGGAAGTAGTATCTTTTTTTTCCCTTTTTTTGGTACCAGGAATCAAACTCATGACCTCATGCTTGCCAGGCAGGTGCTGCACTACTGAGCTAAATCCCTAGCCCCCCAAAGCAGTATCTTATTATCTTAATAATTTATCTTTCAGAATTAGAGTGGTCTTGGGAAAATTAGTGACTAAAAGTATGTTGATGAGGTAAGTTTTTGAATAAGTTTTTGTTGCAGAGTAGAGTAGAAATAGTTACTTAACATCTGTGAAATGGTGTATCTCACCACAAGAAAGGAAGATCTGAAAGCTTTTATTAAAATGTATTATTTCTCTACAGAAATGGTAAACAAAATATGTCCTCTTAATTAATTTAAACCTGGTTCACTAGAATATACATTTTCTCTCTAAAACTGGGAAAACTGATTTTACTTTATTAAAAGAAAATATTTTCATACACTTTAATGAACCCTATAGATAAGAGTTCTTCCTTACTAAACAGAATCGCAAAGAAACTACTTTTGGAAAATAGTACTACATTTAATATTTTTATTTTTCTTCCATTTCAAGTGTTTGTTTTCAGCAAATGAGAAGCAACCTTTTTAAATACTGTTCTTGGATTGGAATAACTTATTTATTTGATAAATAATAAACACTCAGCATGTTTGTAAGTCATTTTGGGGTAACTGTCCTGTTTTGCTTCTTGGAGGTATAGTGCAAGTTTGGTGTTGATTTCAGTATTTATGTGCAGTACTTTGGAAATTCCACTCTTGAAGATAGAACTTTCCCTGGGGGTTTAAATTCCAACTTTAGAAAAGTACAGTGAATGTCAGATCAAGAGAGGGAAAACCCCTTCACTTTGACATTTTTCGTGAAAGTTATGAAACAGCATACCTATTGCTTACATTTCTTTCTCACAGCTGCAGATATTGAACAGTGACCCCTTGTTCTTGACCTTTGCTCAAAAAGTGTGATGCAGGTTATGAGCCTATTTGTGTCTCTTCTTGCCTTTTCCTCCCCATAGCCATCATAAAATTTACTCTTTAACCTAAGTGCAATTCTTAATCATTAGGTAACTGAGAAAGTGCTTGTCTAAACTGGTAGATAAGAAATGTCAGTGCTTCACTGAGTAAGAAAAGTTCTTTTAAAAATACTTTCTTTATGAATATCTACATACTTTACATTAAAATAATTAAAAGAGAAATGTCAGTGCATAACATGTCTGTCCAAGGGTATAAATCTGTTTGATTTGTACACTGTATCAAAATTCGCCTGTCAAGCCAAGCAAACCTATACATAAAAACCTAAGATCTTTTTTCTTTCAACAAACTTGAATATTGTATCTACTACTGTAAGTGTAAGCATTTTTGTGTATTTGCTTGATCATATCTATCTGTTATCTATCTTAATTTTTGGTGCATTGCAAACTAAGCTCTTAAGAGTAAGTAAACTCCATAGTGGCTTTTTTTTTTTTTTTTTTGGTACCGGACATCAAACTTCTACCACCTTACAACCTTCACAACTTCTACCATATTCAAGGACCACGTATAATGTTTTCTTATTTCTCTAAAAATCTTTAAAAAATTAATTTCCAGGGTAAAGCTTTATATTGCTATTTAAGTGGAAAGTCAGTATCACTTGTATCAATAAGCAGTGTTTATTGTGTGTACACCAAAATAAATTCAAATTTATTAAGACTGCATGACTCGTCTCGTTTTTTTGTGTTTTCTCTTACACTTCAGCCCTCCTTAGCAGCATATGCACCTCTAAACTGCATTACCGTAAGATGGTAGGAGGCCAATAGTATTTTTTCCTTCCTAAAATTAGAGCCAGGACTGCAGTGTGAAAAGCTATCAGAGTGAGGCCAGAAGTTCAGTGGAGACTCTGGGGAGTGAGAGATGCCAGAAACATAGAATATCTGCTGGGAAAGCTGCAGGTAGAGAGTGGGCCCACCACAAAAGAGAGGTCAGGTGGGCTACAATTGACACTACTATAGAAGTGGGGTGTCCTAATCCTTTTGGAGTTCACCACAGCCTACCCTGTGCTGGAGCTACAAGATTTACCCTTTTGGGTAAATTTACCCTGTTTGCCCTGTTGGGTTTCAGTCTTGGCTTCTAATTTCTAATTCTGTATTCCTCCTGTTTGGAATGGGAATGTTTATTCTGTGTCATTGTATGGTGGAAGTGTTCTGCTTCCTTTTTGATTTTTATAAGGGCTCACAGCTATGACTTTGCCTTGAATCCAAGAGGAAGCTAGGCTTTTCAGAAATGCTAAAATTGTTAAGATGTCAGTTCTTAGAGGTAGACTAAATGCTTTTTGTGTAATGAGTTGGATATGAGTCTTTGGGGCTTGAGGGTGGAATGTTATGGTGTGTTCCTTAGAAGTCTCATGTATGGCTGTGGGCTTGGTCAAAGAGGAAGGTCACTGATAAGCATGATTTGGAAGGGTATATTCTTAGCTCTCTCCTCCCTTTTCACTCTGCTTCCTGGTCACCATGCTGTTTTTGCCTTAAAATTGACCAACTATATACTGAACTCCCTGAAACTTACACCAAGTTAAAACTCCTTTTCTTTAAGAGATTAAGTGTCAGGGATTTTGTCCCACCAACCAGAAAGTGACAAATAATACATTTCTTCTTGAGAAGTGGAGAATTCCTTCCCTTTTATGGAAATGGGGAGATGTACAGGATGTTATCCCTTAACAGCTCCTGTTACTTCCTCCTACAGTGACCAGGGGACATTTCTATTGATGGAACAAGAAATAGAAATGATGAATTATGTACTGGGGCAAAAAACAATAATGCTTTGCAGGTAGGGAGTGGCTTGCATAGGTCACCCCAATAAATTTCCCAAATGGCCAAAAAAAAAAAAAAATTGGTAGATTTCCAGCTTTTGACAGATGCTTTCCTTCTCAGAGCCTTGGAACCATGTGTCAGAACTAACTGCTTTGAGCCTCAAATGGCCTAACCACCTTTTTTCCTCCCAGCCCAACAATATCTGCCTCTTCCTCTACCTGCAGGGAAAACTTGCTTTCCGTTTGATTTTATAGTCTCATTTCAAAGAATGTTCTCAACTCACCTGATGAAAATAGTAGGTGCAAATGCTGGTTAGAATTTACTTTGTACTTTATTTTTAAATGAGGTTGTTTTAAACCCTTTTCAAGATTATTCCTAATAAAGTGTCAAACAGACTTAATTTCTCTTGTTTTTTTTTTCTAATAGGCATCCCATGCTGCCACTAATTTCATGACATACTTGTGAAAGACTAATGTCTTCTGTGTTAGCCATCTCAACTTCCTATGTCTACTTAACACTCCCAGCCACCAAGGAGTGATTCAGCTATTATCAGCTATATCCTTTGTCGATGTCCGCTCCCGGCCGGCAGGAAGGACACACGACAAAGTCTGGTAGTGGACAACCTTTTTTTTTTATTTTCCTTCTCCGTACAGCCTGCCCTGGGATCGCTCCCAGCCGAAGCCTCCTCTGGTCCGCTCCCCGCGGCTCCTTCCGGGCTTCGCTCCGAAGCCTCTACCGGTCCGCTCTCCGCGGCTCCTTCTGGGCTTTTACTTCCGGGCTTCTACCTGGCTTCTTCTTCCGCCCAGGGGTGGCACCGGTATATATACGGGTACAGTGTCCAATCATGTTAAAGTAAGCAAGGCAAGCTGATTGGCTAACATCATCAGTTGCCAGGCAGACTATATTGTTGAGCGGGTTGTTTACGCGGTAAGCAGGAAACTAACATATTCGATGGGAGGGGTAATCTACCTCAGGCTTTGCTCTTTACCACAGGCCGCACGTCCGCCGCGCAAGGCGAGCTATCACAGACGCGGCTCCCAACATCTCCCCCTATTTTATTTTTTATGAATGTGCGCATCGTAGCCCTTCCTGGACTGGGTGCAGAGGCTTATGCCCTATGTGTAGGCCCACCGTAGGTCCTTGGCTTAGACCCTGGTTGGCCATGCCATGGTCTGCCAAGGCCCTGAGGCCCTCGTCCTTTTTCTAGGGCCAGGCACAAACTGGACGGAACCTGGATGCACACAAGCTTGCACTCATTTCCTCTCCGTAAAGAAATCCTCTCGGAGAGAAATTTAGACCTGGGCAGCATCTAACAGTCCAGCGGCTTACGTGCAGGATGGGGTAGGGCCTGGCTTAGGTCGAGTCGTGCTGGGGAGGCACGCTCTTACCCGTCATTGACTCACCTACCCTGCTGTGTATTGTCACCTTATGGAGGAGAATGAGGGATGCCCGCCATATCTAGACTCGGTCGTGGGCCAATTGAGCAAGCCATGCATATGCCTGAGGATCTTCTTGTCCATTTTGGGCTACCGCTATTTTTATTCATCTTATTGGTTGGTCTGTGATGGATCTCCAGTAGGGCAGGTCTGATCTTCAGTCGAGGGCTTTGTTGCCCGTGTCAGTCTCTCCGGTATCCACAGTGGTTCTCGTCCCGGTTCCTGTGGGAAAACACAAACCGCGCCTCGGTTCCAGCTGACCACTGGATCCGGGCCCATCCATTGTCCTGTCAGGACATCTTTCCACTTCACCCACCCTTTATGGTTGGGGGAAGGGTTGCAGTGCTCTACAGCTGGGGAGCGATTATCATTATTTAAATTTAAAAAATTGTGTGTGAATAGTGCCATGGATAATCGTGCCTTTGGGGCCAGGCCTTGGCTTACTCCCCCTTTTTGTTTTTTATTTTTTATTTTTTATCTTTTTCGTTTTTTTTTTTTTTTTTTTTTTTTTTTATTGGTACCAGGGATCGAACTGGCGATTGCCTGCTTACAAGGCAGGCGCTTATGCCGCTAAGCTAAATCCCCAGCTCCCATTTTCTCGACCGGCGTTTTTCTCAGCCTGCTCGGCAGAGAACTCTGCGTACCAGGCTCGCCAATCCAGGTAACTGCCCGAGGGCAGACACGCCTTTGCCAGCTGAATCCAGTCCGCGGGGGTGAGGGGCCCAGAAGACAGATTCTCCAGCATGGCAATGGTGTAAGGCGCAGTCGGCCCAAAGGTTGTAACTGCATTTTTAAGTTCTCTAATCTGCTTTATCTCAAAAGGCTCCCATACATTGTGTCCCTGGCCCATAGCTATTTGTACAGGAAATATCCCGTAGGGGCCACTATCTATCCCAGGTGGATGTACCTCATGAGACAAGCGTCCCCCCTGCCAAAGCCGCCTGTAAAAATACCGACCCGCCGGCGGCGGAGCATAAGACAGCGGCCGTGATTGGGCGGAAAATGGGGGCCCGTGCATCACTTCCTGTTCTGGCGAAAGGGGAGAGAGCTCCCAGGCGGCCGCCTCGTGGCGAGGGATCGCCTCCGGAAACGGCCCCCAAGGTGGGGCGGAAGGCTTCGCCTCCCTCTCGCGCCGGGGAGCGCTCAGGAGCTCTCTACTCCTCCGCAGACCAGGTTGAGCAGAGCGCAATTCGCGGGGCAACGCTGGAAAAGAACCCTGCGACTCCTTATTGAGCGACTTAGGCTCTTGACAGCTGGTCTCTTTGGCCTCCTTGCCATTTAACTTTCCCTCGTCCTCGGAGTCAGACGACTCCGAGGCTAGAGCCCCGTCCTCCTCCTTAGCATCCTTGTTCCCCTTGACGGACCCCTCTCGGGAGCTCCCTGACTGGGCCTGCTCAGATACCCTGCGTACTTTTGTAAGCTCTTGAGAGCTTTCTCCACAACCACCCTCGCTCTTAGTGTTGCTACCTAACATGTTTCCCATCTTTTAATATGTTACTCACCGCGTGAGGCCCAAGGAATCCGCCACTTACGCGTGAGCCTGAGGGGAGTCTAAAAGCCCTGTAGGTGCGCGCCACCCAGAGCCCAGGCTTATCCCCAACTCACCTGTCTCGCAGCTCTGTACTGGAGCGTTGTCCACTTCCACGTCTCGGGGGTGATCAGTCCCCGTATGGGCCACCAAATGTCGATGTCCGCTCCCGGCCGGCAGGAAGGACACACGACAAAGTCTGGTAGTGGACAACCTTTTTTTTTTATTTTCCTTCTCCGTACAGCCTGCCCTGGGATCGCTCCCAGCCGAAGCCTCCTCTGGTCCGCTCCCCGCGGCTCCTTCCGGGCTTCGCTCCGAAGCCTCTACCGGTCCGCTCTCCGCGGCTCCTTCTGGGCTTTTACTTCCGGGCTTCTACCTGGCTTCTTCTTCCGCCCAGGGGTGGCACCGGTATATATACGGGTACAGTGTCCAATCATGTTAAAGTAAGCAAGGCAAGCTGATTGGCTAACATCATCAGTTGCCAGGCAGACTATATTGTTGAGCGGGTTGTTTACGCGGTAAGCAGGAAACTAACATATTCGATGGGAGGGGTAATCTACCTCAGGCTTTGCTCTTTACCACAGGCCGCACGTCCGCCGCGCAAGGCGAGCTATCACAGACGCGGCTCCCAACAATCCTTAATATGTTTACATAGCACCCAACTCACAATGGTTCGTATGGTTTCTGACAAAGACTACTTGAAATTTTATGAGTAAAAATTGCATATGTAAATTACATTAAATGTCCATATGAAGTCCCTAAACAACCAAAACAACTGTGAAGAGAAAAAAAGTTGGAGGACCAATATTATCAAAATTTAAGTTGACAGATAAAGCAACAGTTATTAAGACAGCATGATGTTAGCATCAAAGTAGACAAACCAACAAAACAGAGTTCATTAATAGACATACATATATGGACAACTGATTTTTGATAGTTCACTG